TAAGCATAGTGAATATGTGATTGTATAGAATGAAAACATAATAATATATATATATATATATATTAAAAAAAAAGAAACATAGTTCATGTTAGCTCGAACATTTTAACTCAAATATTCATACATGTCACCATCATCATATATCCATTTTCATTTGACTATAATTATTATTTAAAAAAAAAGATAATGGTAATAATAATTTTTGTTTCTTAAACAATACATGCCCACACCAGTGGGGAAATGCCATTGATCTATGCCATTGATTTCTGAATCACCACCATCTAGCATGTAGGCTATGTTTCAATACAAAACTTTTAGTAGCACCTTACCACTGAAGCTTACCAACTTACAGAGCTTACTAATAATTGGCAAATATTGACAAAAAATTGGATTTAATGTGCATACTAACCCTATGAGTTAAAAGAATTGCAAAGCACATAGGTTTTTTTTATTTATTTCAAATTCCATTAAAAAATGCCAGCAATATCCAGCCCATTCCTTGACTACAAAACTAGTATTTAAACAGCAAAGTTATTATATAAAATGACAGCTAAGAATCCCGAAATCATTATTCTATTTCAAAATCAAGCAGATTGCATTCCCATACCAGATGAGAAAAATATGGCAATAACCTTAAGTCCATTGTGGACTACTGAAGTGGCTTAAATTCACTATAATACAGGATCATATACAACAGCCATAGACAAAACCATGGATTTAAGGAAAGAGAAAATGTAAAATAAGCAGATATCTAATTCCTTTTACATGTATGCCTTATTCACTCCCAAAACGTAAACATATGTGTTTATAGTTTCCCCTCATATTATTCAATAGACGTATGTACAAGAATAGCCTATTCAAATATGTTATGGTCATTATTTAGATTAAGCCTTTACAAAGTTTATGAAACAAAAATATATCTAAGGTACAAAAGTATCAAAGAATTGAATTCTCTCCTTCTCTCAAGACCCAAAGACCCAAAAATGTTGGGTACATTTTTTAAAATTTAATCAGTCTCCAGTGGCTTACCATGTTTCTCTGAAAATAAGACCCAACTGGAAAATAAGCGCTAGCATGGTTTTTCAGGATGCTTGTAATATAAGCCCTGCTCCCAAAATAAGCCCCAGTTAAGATCATCAGCCAGATGGACACATTTAGTACTGTATTTCCCTGAAGACCAAACCAGAAAATAAGTCCTAATGCATCTTTTAGAGCAAAAATTAATATAAGACCCGATCTTACTTTCGGGGAAAGACGATGGCTCAACACAGGAACCCATTTCACATGCAAAGAAAGCAAAAGATGATTTCCATATCTTACAAGTGTATTCCACAGGCTGATTCTTATCTAATAAAACCATACTTCCCAAGAGGGAGGGATCAGCAGACTGGAAGAAAACCCTTGGGAATCATCTTTAGGGAATTCCCCCTTTCACAAAACAGACTGGGCCTGTCCAATGGGGTGTGGAATCCCAACAGATTGTTGGACAGAAAAGGCAACTCAGAATGCAGAACCTTATTTTTTTTAAAAAAAGTAAATTTATTTATTTTTTGGAATGCCAGAAATTTTGAGATAACACAAATGTTAATTTTTTTATGTTATGGTTGTATGATATCTGACATCTGGTGAAAAAAACACACTAGATGGAATTCTGCCTTGCGAAATATATTACCTTGTTCAAATACAATATCTGAACAAACCACGCGGATAAACTAATTCATCTCGAAAAGGATATATAAATACAAGAAATAAAACCCTGTTTCATTCAGTTTCTATTAGTAAAGAATTTATAAAAATCTATAGAACTTATTTTTTTTTAAATGAAATGATATCCATTCTTTTAAAGACTTGGAATGCTCCCTATGTATACAATGAATAACACACCAGTTAAAATTGTAGTTTTAAGGCTGTATCCCGACTGTACTAACTGAAGAATAAACCCCACTGATAGCGAATACTGCACTCTTAAAAATACATTTCTGAAGTCAATTTTACTAAATTGAAATATATTCAAATTTGTTGATACACACACACACACAGTATTGTTGAAACAATAAACCCCATGAATTCATTAAAAAAATCTATTTAGGTTCATGGTGCAAGCCAGTAGAATTTGCTGCATAATGAATACTGAGCTAACTTCAATTGGATTAGCAACCAGACTAAAAATATATTGATTTTGGAGTCATAGAAAAAAATATGTTGCCCTTTCAATAAACAATATTATTTTCTATCTGTGTAAGCTTGGGGAGTTTCTTTCAGGAACTCTTTAACAGAGCTATCTCATGAATAATTTCTCAAAAATAAATCCTGCTTTACACAATTACACAATGAGGAATTGCACCTAGTATATGGTTTTAAAGTTGCACTCTTGTGGATTGTTAAAAAGCAGTTAGGAAAGTGAAACACCATATTCAAGCTCTTGAGAAGGCAATCAATAAATCCTCCCTTGCTAAATAGTATATATGAAGTGATGGGTGGAAATCCACCTATGAGCGTGTATATTGTACAGTACTATATTTTTGTTTGACCGTTGAGGACTTGCTTAAGGTTGAACCTGTGGGAAGCACTTCTTGTGGGCTACTTTGGTTAAAGAATGAGTCAGAAATTAAAATCTGTTCCTGCCTCTCATTGTTAGGAAAAGTGCCTGCTTCAGTTGTGGCCCGCCTAACAGGAGTTGGTGTCACTACTCTCTCTGTTATCATTATATTCTGTTCTTCTGACAGATTGGGGATGCTTACAGAAGCCTTTAAGTCAGAACTAGGGACAAGGACTCGCTCCCTTTCCCTCACAACAACATATTTTGAATCTGGGAGGTCTGGGAAGACACCAGCCGGCATGTCTAACATGTCATGCAAGCTAGAAGCAGGTGCAAGGACCCTTTCTGTCACTACCACATTCTCCTTAATCTGAGGTTCACGGATGACTGTTGATGGTACCGTCCCATATGATGTTTCTGTCACTACAACATTGCTGCTGCTGCTGCTGCTAATCATGGGGTCTGGGATTCGCTTCACTGGCTGGAGGTTAGACTTAGATGTAACAGTTGACTCAGTTATTGTTTTCTCAGTCATTGTTTCTGAACCAAAACCTTTCACAGGTTCAGATAGGTTGTAGGCAGCCCCTGATGAATAAGTATGTTCGGCATTCACCACATTCTGCTGTTGGGAGTATGGCAGACCGGATCCATTCATTGAACGATTAGTTGTATCTTTCTGGGTATGAGAGCTGAACTGCTCTGTTTTTAGGCCTGTGGGTTTGCCCATACAGATCTCAGCCAGAGTTTTAAATTTGTCTCCCAAGTCATCCAAGAAATGTTCATCAAAGTCACCATCAATAAAGCTACAGCAGCCAACTGAACCATGAGGGGAATCGTGCTCTTCCTCCTGGGAGTAAATGAGTAGGCAATCTTTGGCAAGATGCACTTCATCCTCATCAGCAAAAGCATCAGCTTTCTAAAATATGGAAGAAAAGAATAGTAATGAACACTCACATTTCAGAAGTTACCATTTTTTTAATCTAAAGTGTTTATACCATATTACATTAGAATTACATAATATTTTCATATTACAGAGCTGCTAACATTCATAAGCTGAACACTTTAACCCAGAGCTATTCTATGTGGATGAAAAGAACAAGGTTCTCCACATTCATATTTTGGTAGCAGAAATCCAGGACAGTAGGTTTAAAAAGATCAGCTTTAGTCCCTTGCATCATTACCTCATAAGCTTTCCCTCTTTTTCCCCTCAAGCAATCTCCTTAGATGTATTAATGGTAGAACATATATTAGGCTGGTGATAGTGGAAGTTTTAGGACTGAAATGTAGTATTCTGTTTTCCTGAAAATAAGACATCCTCAGATAATAAGCCCACTTGGGCTTTTGAGCCCATGCGCTAAAATAAGTCCTCTCCTGAAAATAAGCCCTCCCTGAAAATATTGCAACACAGCAGCAGTCATGAGGTGACCATGCTCATTGCCTCCTGCATCTCAAAAATAATAAGACCTCCCCGAAAATAAGGCCAAGCGCTTTTGGGGGTCAAAAGAAAATAAGACCCGTCTTATTTTCAGGAAAACATGGTAAATTTTACTCATCTATAATCAACAAAACATTAATTAGTAAGTTGCCTTTATTTTATATGTCTAAAATATTTCTGGTAATCATAATAATCAGTGATTATTATTATTTTGGAGATGAGGGGGGAAGAGAATGCTTTGAGAGGCTCCTTCAGCTTGATTTTGTTCAAATGCTTTGGGCTACTACTCTGACCTGACCTAGTTAGAAAGATCAATGGGAGACCACCAAGTATGATAAACAGGAAAAAGTGGCTGAAAAGACCATGGAGTGGTTGTTGTAGAAACCTGAAGAACTTGACAACTAGAAGAGTTGAGGAGCGACAAGAAGAGTGGGATTCCTATGCCTACAGAACTCAAACATTCATTTTGGTCTCTATCCAATGCTGGACAGAGTAAGACTACTGAGAAAACCATGAATTTTGGACATGTTTATGTTAATTTTCTAACTGAACTCAAAATGATAAAAACAGCGGGCAATCAAAAACCATTTAAAAATACTGGAGTAAGACATGGAGGGGAGAGACAGATTTACATGCAGTACACCTCAGATGTACATAGCTGCCAACAATAAAGAATAGCAAAAACTTCATACCCATCTTGAGCCCTCTCAGAATTACTTGGTTAACTGTTGAAGAAAAATAATTACTGGATCAAAGCTTTAGGATTTGAATTATAAGGAATTATGGTTGTATGAAACATGAGGGGAGAAATTGGAAATTTGATAAGCTTTAACAAGAGGCTTAATCTGCCTCTTTTGTAAATATAACAAAGGATAATTATCCAGGTTTTTGATTTTTATATCTATATCTCTTTTAATTATTTTGACGTCATCTGATTTCTTTTATATGTTTAGTGTAGCATCTTTTTTGGTATCATTTGTGTAGATGTGATGTTTAAATCCCCTTTCAGATAAGTGTCCGTCTTGCTGGTAAAGCTTGTTCCTCTTCCATACAACTTTTAAACAGTCTATGTATAGAGTAGACACCTTTAACTTCAAATTAACTTTTAACTTTAACAACAACTTTTGTTGTTCAAACATGCCCTTCAACATGTACAATGTTAAACTATTTTGCTTCATTCTGTATTAATAAATCAAATTTAAGTGTTCTTTTCCTTCAATTTTAATCTTTAGTTCCTTCTGGTTCCTTCTAATGTCCAACCCTCAAAAATTCATCCTATCAAATAATTCAAAACAAAAACATTTTTTCATAGGGAGTATTCTTATAATTAATTCCAAAATCTTATTTCAAATTTCTCTGGACATTTAATTCACTTGTAACTATCTAACATCAAAGATCTAATTATCATTTTGTTGTTTATTAGCCCAAAATGTTCCAAAATATCTTAAACCTGTGTTTAAAACATCTTTTTGCCAAAGATTTAAGAAAATACCTGTTTTTTCCACACTTGTTTATTTAAAGGTTGCTGTTAGCTAAAAAGCAGTTATCAAGCAATTTCCAAAAGTGATTAGAAAAGGAAGTAAGTGAATCCAGTGTCCAAAATGGCTATTCACTTGTGTCTCAGAGCTCTGAATTCATTGGAGACTACAGCTTTGCAGTCTTCTTGTGTGGAGGAACTGTCTGGATCACTTGTGGGGGATCTCAAGTCCTCTCCTATCTGGAGAGGATTAATGAAGGCCCACTGGTTCCACTTTTAATGTAGCTGTTTTTGGTTTACCATTTTTCTCCTTGAAGTCCAGAAATTTGTGAACTATTTTGGAAAAGGCAATACTTTCAACCAATCAGAAGACGTGGCAATATGTGTGATTTTGTGTTTATATTATAATATTGAGTTCATTAGTACCCCAGAGACTACTGATAAATATATACCATGTATATATTTTTCTTCTTGTTCCCAGTTTGTATTTTTTTAAAAAAATTGGCTTTTAAAGATTGTTTGAAATAAGGCAATATGGGAGAAAAAATGAACAACTGATATATCTTTAGGAGAAATACTGACAGTTACAATTGCAACTAAAGTTATTGTTATAAAAAGAAATGAATCAAAGGCAATGGAGGCAGGATTTGTATATTGGGATTTGTATATTCGTGTATATCAGTATGTGTCTGATATAGTTACACTGATTGCTTTCTGGAAATATGGAGAACTGTAACTCTTTTGAAAATCCATGAAAGTGTCCTCCAGCATATGCAGCAAAATAGTTACACTACAAAGGGGAAAGAAATGCCGCCACCAGCCCTAATTATCCTCTTGCTCCCCACTTCCTCAAAAGCATGCAAAGCCAGGCTGAATGTTTCAAGCCCATTCCTCATCCTTCCCCACCCTCTCTCTGTCTTCCCAAACAGATTTCTTAATGAATCCAGCTGGCCTCCCTCAGGAATTGGCTTACAGTTTCCCAAATGGAAAGAAGACGCCTCTCCCTGCAACAGTACATACTCAAAATCTATAATGATAAATTCCACAAGATTAATAACATCCATGCGACTATATAGCATCAAAGGATAGAAAGTGTTGATCAATAGAGTTAATTCAAAAAGTAGACTCTTACTTCATTGAAGTAACCCCGTAAAAATTCTTCATTCATGATCATGCCAGTATCCATGGCTAAAGTTCTGCCAGCTCCTAGCAGCATTGTCCCACCTGCTGTCAAGCCCACCCCTGGGGCTGAGGCATTTATAAATTCTGCCTCAGAAAAAAGAGCTTCTCGGTCTTCTCGCCATCTCGAGATCGTGTTGCTGCTCATGTTCTGCTCCTTGATTGTACAGGAGAAGCTGTTCCCTGCTGCTGCTGCTGCTGCTGCTGCTGCTGTTCCTGCTCCCACGACTACTTCTCCACTGCTCATATATTTTTCTGATCCGGAGGAAGTAAGGAGGTCCAGGATTGCCTAATATCAAAGGTGACAATTAAAAAGCAAAGATGAGCGTTGAAGAAGCAGCACTGAAATCATAACAGAAATAGCTTTGCTGGATTGCTAGGTGAATTTGATATTTACATGGGTTGGTACTTGTTACACTGAGAAACAGGAAACGTTTATAATACACCAGCAGGAAATTCAGGATTTTAAACTGTGGCTACAATGTAGGACTGTATTACTATTTTATTATTGTATTACTAATATGCAGGAGAACTGTATTACCATTATCCTTCACATCTTTCCTGCAGTATTACTTACTCCTGTTGGTATCTTATCACTATCACTTTATTGGTTGCATTTTATGATTTATGATTGCATCTCATGATTTATTATTTTGTTGCTTGTATGTATGTATACTGAGAGCTTACGCATTGTAGACAAATTCCTTGTGCATCCAATAACACTTAAAGAATACCCTATATTATGTGTTCCTCTCAAGCCCCTTCTAAAACCATGTTTGGAGAATAGCAGAAAGATTTTTTGTTTTGGAAAAGCACACCTTTTTGAAGGTACTCCTGAAAAAAAGAGAGAATCACTTTCTCACATGCTGCTTATATGTTGATCTGAAACCAATAGGACATTCTTATACATCATGATTCAGCAGTAAGGTTGATTTGATTTGAGTTCCCAATAAGTGTGATTATGGCTGCAATCTAAATCCAGTGATTTAAATGGGACTTGGTCAACACATTTATGGCTGCAGGCCTGGGAAATTCACATTGCTCTAGCTCAGTAGGTTTTTCAATCTTGGCAACCTTAAGATGCTGGCTGAGGAATTCTGGGAATTGAAGTCCACACATCTTAAAGATGCTGACTTTGAAAAAAAACTGCCCTAGATGTATTAATCCTTTTAATTTCCTCTTCCTGTTCACAAGGAATGGGAAACTGAAGTAAGGAAAAGAAAAGGCAAAATACAATATACCTTATTTTCAGGTGCTGCTCCTTCACTGTTCCAGTTACGCAACATTTCTTCACTGTTATCAGGTATAGCTACAAATCCTTTTCCACCACTTGATCCAAAGCCTGACCCAAAGCCACAGGCCAGCAGTAAGAGAGGCACGACTGCAAAGGAATACAGTGCAACAATAAGCAACAAAGATCAAATGCTATGGGAAAAAATATTGAGGTCTTCTGCATCTGCAATCTGATCCATCTCAAATATTTCACAATCAGAACAAAATTATTACAATTTTCCCGGAGAGATAGGTCATTTAAAAGGTAAAGGTTCCCTTTGCACATATGTGCTAGTCATTCCCAACTCTAGGGGGTGGTGCTCATCTCTGTTTCAAAGCTGAAGTGCCAGTGCTGTCCGAAGATGTCTCTGTGGTCATGTGGCCGGCATGACTAAACGCCGAAGGTGCATGGAACGCTATTACCTACCCACCAAAGATTTTTACTACTGTTTTTCTACTTGTATTTTTTATATGCTTTTGAACTTCTAGGTTGGCAGAAACTGGGACAAGTAAGTGGAACTCATCTGTTACGTGGCACGAGGGATTCGAACTGCTGAACTGCCAACCTTTCTGATCAATAAGTTCAGCACATGATAAACAGGCAGCTTTCCAGCTCAACCCTGATCTTTCTTTTCTACCAATTCAACAATTTTTAACATTCCAATGAGAACAGAACATCAAGCACTATTATCAGAAAAAAACCTCTATTTTTTATCTTGCTTGTTTTTAAGTGAGTTTTATATATTCAGCTTTGCACACGTTCCAAAAGGGTAAGATATAGAATATGTTGCTAAATGTAAAAACAAGCACCTTGAAGCCCTAATGTTTTCAAAAAGTAAGTAAATATATTTATATTTAGTAGTAGCAAGATTAGGTCAGGCCTGAGTGTGTATATCAGAGGTGGTATTCAGCACTGGTAGCGGAAATTTTGAGTAATTCAGAGAACCGGTAAATACCACCTCTGACTGGCCCCACTCCCATCTATTCTCTGCCTCCTGAGTCCCAGCTGAGGGACTGGGGAATGGGGATTGTGCAGTAACTTTCCCCTGGAGTGTGGAGGGAATGGAGATTTTACAATATCCTTCCTCTGCCACACCCACCAAGCCATGTCATGCCCACCAAGCCACGCCCACAGAACCAGCAGTAAAAATTTTTGAACCCCATCACTGGTGTATGTACATGTATACTTAAACACATTCTACCCTAACCTGACCTATGGAAGTTTGGAAGCTTCTTAACTGCCAGTAACTTAAGAAGAAAGCCATGGAAAATTTGAACAACAAGTAAAGTGAAAGTGGAATACCAGCTCCTAAACAGACAGGTAGAAGAAGAAAAACACCCAACCCCCCTAATATTTTAATGCCCTTTTAAATGTTTCCTTCCACATTATATGCAACACATTAAAAATTTGAATTTCTTAAAAAAAATTATTTCAGTAGAAATTAATTATGGTTGGATAATGTCTACAGTCTTTCTTTTTCAAATGAAGTGAACGATTTGCAACCTCTCATCTGAAGGAGACTTTGTGTCAGAGTTCTGCTTAGTGCCAATCATGCCTTTAGATCAGGGGTGTCCAACCTTGGCAACTTCCTTGTGGCCTTTAACTCTGAGAATTCCCGAGTCACCATGGTGAATTCTGGGAGTTGAAGTCCCCAAGTCTTAAAGTTGTCAAGGTTGAACAGTCTTGCTCTCAACAGTAGAGCAGGTTGGACACCCAGTTCTAGACATTATGAAATAACGTTAAAAGCTTACGGAGTAGCAGCAACAATGCCAAGATCATGAGCGCAACTGCAGCGGGTCCCAGGAAAACAGAGGAGTTGACAATTCTACCCTGGCAACCAGTGCCATCCTTGCAATCACAAACGTTCACTTCCAGTACTTGTTGGTCAGGACAGCTGAAACCTTGTTTATCTTTTATTAAAAGAGGAATTCTGTATATGCCAGGTGTCACATCCTCGAGTATCAGCTGAGCTCTGGATCCTTTGTAGGGAAGAAGAAAAACAACAACAACGTTCAGCAAGGAAAGGAATGAAATCAGAAGCCTTGCTACTTTTAGGGTTACCATTCTGATAGTTAAATCAGTCTTCCCCAACCTTGCAAGACTTTAACTCCTGGGATTCCTGACCATTGATAAGAATTCTGGGAGCTGATCTAAAACACACCCAAATTAGGAGAGGCTCCTTTAAAAGAAAGCATTCTTATTAGGAGACAATTCTATATTTCTAGTGTCTGTCACGATTGCACAATGTTTTGGAAAACTGCACATTCTGAACAAAGCAAGAATTCTCTAGGACATTGACACATTACTTGGTAATCCCACTGCCACAATATATTGATGGTAGTTCAATCTATTTAAGGCAATTCAGTTAATCAAGAGGAGTTTAGATTTCCTAGCTGTGGAGCTTGAAGGTTTTGGGCTGCCCTCCTAAGCCTAAAGGTAAAGGTTTCCCTCACACATATGTGCTAGTCGTTCCCGACTCTAGGGGGCAATGCTCATCTCTGTTTCAAAGCCAAAGAGCCAGTGCTATCCAAGACGTCTCCATGGTCATGTGGCCGGCATGACTAAATGCCAAAAGTGCATGGAGTACTGTTACCTTTCCATCAAGATGGTCTTTCTTTTTCTATTTGCATTTTTACATGCTTTCGAACTCCTAGGTTGGCAGAAGCTTGGACAAGTAACGGGAGCTCACTCTATTACGTGGCACTAGGGATTTAAACTGCCGACCTTTCTGATTGACAAGATCACCGTCTTAGCACTGAGACACCACGTCCCTTCCCCTAAGCCTACTTCCATTTTATTTTGCAACTGGTGCTAAACATGTTACCCCATTTCATTCATATATATTAGAAACAATCCCTCCACTTGTTTGCAATTGAATCTGATCTAATCAACAATGAAGCAGCACCATATTTCTCCCCTGACTTTGACTGCTAATTCTTGAAACCAAGAATTGAAGCAGAAACCAAACCACAAGCTCTGCTCTCATAAAATCTGTAGCTTCAGAGCTATTCCAATCTCTATAATATGTGGCATGACTTATACTTACCAACTATCAGGCCAATTCTCCATTTGTCTGATATTCTTTCAGGTTCATCAATGATCTTGAAAGTGAAAGGACCACCATTTGGATGTCTATCTCGATCCTCAACAGTGATATTAATATACTTTGTATCAGTACAGACATTTGTTTTTTGATTCACCAGAATTGGGCAGTAATCATTCTTGTCTTCAATCTGAATAACGATGGTACCTGTAGCTGTTTTTGGAGGGTAGTCTGCAAAGCACAGAAGTCATATCTATTTTTATACAAACTGCTGATTAATTGGAAACTTGTTTGCTTCTTTAAGCATGTAAGGTAAAGGTTCTCCTTGCACATATGTGCTAATTGTTCCTGTCTCTAAGGGGCGGTGCCCATCTCCATTTCAAAGCCAAAGAGCCATCACTGTCCAAGACGTCTCTGTGAACATGTGGCCGACATGACTAAATGCCGAAGGCACACGGAACGCTGTTACCGTCCCACCAAAGGTGTTTCCTATTTTTCTATTTGTATTTTTACATGCTTTTGAACTGCTAGGTTGGCAAAAGTTGGGACAAGTAATGGGAGCTGCCTCCATTACGCGGCGCTAGGGATTCGAACTGCCGACCTTTTTGATTGACAAGCTCAGCGTCTTAGCCACTGAGCCACCATGTCCCTTTCTTTAAGCACGCACAAGATTTTAAATGTGAACTTGGTGGTTGAATTATGAGAAGTTTACAATTTGTTAGTTTGCATGTATTTGAATTGAATGTAAAATACAATTCATACCCATGAACATTTTGGGGGTCACTGCTGTACAAGTAGTCTTCAACCTATGACTGTAATCAGTGGTGTATTAACCATTAAGCAGACTAAGCATGTGCTTAGGGCACCAGGCCCAAAGGGGGCACCACAAAGTTGAGAAAGAAAAAAAAACCTAATGAAGATTTGTACAGTATGTACAAAGGAGGGGCACCAAGATTTGTCAATGCTTAGGGCACCAATGAGCCTTAATCTGCCACTGACTGTAATGGAGCCTGCAAATGGTGACACCCGTTAAGTGAGGCAGCGTTCCTTAATGGACTTTGCTTAACATTCATAAGGATGAATGACCGCAGGGGTACTTCAGCCACTGTAGGTTTGAAACAGGATTGTATGTAGCTTTTGGGGGGGGGAGGGGGTTGTTGTAAACTCAAATGGCTATTAAGTGACTAATCATACCTGCAATGTTACTTTACTCTTGAGTCTCTGTCGTTAATCAGACAATTAGTCAAAAATCAGATTGGATTGTGGTCAGTGTTAGATTTGTAGCTCTCACTGTATAATGCACAAGCTTTACTACAGCCTCTGCTCCTGCATCCACTTAGTACCAAGAACGTGCCAGATATTCCACATAACATAAAAGGTATATGACTGCATTATGGATTTATTCAAAAGGAAAAATATCTTGGCGTTCCAATAAGCAAAATATTGTGATCCTGATTGTGCATGATGTGAAAAACCAGTCTGCTGTGGTCCTCACGGAAGGGATTCACCTGGTAACGCAGTGGCAGATGACCAATAAACTCCAAACCTGCCTTGTTTGTAAGACAATAGTTATTCTGCCAGCATCCTTGCCTCTTTTGTGGACACTGGATGGCGTGAGACACAGCATAGATGGAGAGTGGCATTTATATTTTTCTCAATCATTTTCTGCACTTATTTATTTAGAAATCTACATATTCACCAAGAATGGAAAGAAAAAAATGCTCATAAAAGAAATGGAAAGCTTGAAGAAATTTCATACTGCAAATCACTCTAAGCATTGATTTCTCTGCAAGTAGCTAGACAAGAATACGGGGTACTATTGATCATTAAAAGATATAGTCTCCTACTTGCTTTCTAACTATTGCAAGCAGTTTTGGTGGATTCTGGAATTTAATAAAAATGAACTGATGTGAATTTGGCATGATACATGGTGATACTTTTCAAGAAAAAATAGAAAAATGTAGTTAAATTATTTATTGTGTATTCCACCAGATCTTACAACTCTTGGTAATTAAGAACCATTATAAAGTACAACAAAAATATTCACTACATACCAGTACTTATGGCCAAAATTGTTGCAGTGTAAGTACCATTGATGACATAGTGTGATTCATAGTCTAGGACTTTACGTAGTCTGATCTCAGCTGTTTTAGCATCTATTATCAACCAATTTGCAGTATCGCTTCCTTTGGCATACCTGTGTAAAATTTAAATATATGTGAAAATGAACATACAAATCTGAGATCAAGCATACATATGGAAATTATATACTTCTTAAGAGACATAAAAACTTTTTATACATCTACATACTATATTTCTATTCATAGTTAATAAATAACAGTCAAATAATTGTTAATAAATAACAGTCACATTTTAATACATTTATTCTTGGTGTATTTCTAGTTGTGCCCTGTTCAAATCTCTGGCCAATCCACATAACAAGGACAGTTTAATTGGAAAACCTATCAGAGGTTGGCCCAATAAATCATTTCTGAATTGTTCCTTTGCACTATTATAGTTTGTTCAACAAACAATGTGCAAAACCATGCTTTAAGATGACATGTGAACATCAACGTTTCCAGTATTTATTTATCAAATCATACTTATATAGCTACCCATTTCACAAGAAACAACTCTGGGAAGCCATATAAATATGCATATACCTACGTCATATTGATACTGAATGTTTATAAGTATAAGTATAATCTTTATTGTCATTGTACTTAAATACAATGAAATTGGTTTTAACCCCACTGGTGCAAAATTATAGCAGAAACGAAAAAAAGAAAGAAAAAGAAAAAAACTAGCGTGTGCATGAGTGATTGTGGTTGAATTTAAAAGTCTGACAGCTCAAGGATAGAAACCTATTTAAACCTATTTGTTTGCTGGATATACTTTGATGTCTTCTGCCCGATGGTAGTAGTGCAAAGAGACATTGACCAGGGTGTGAATCATCTCTGAGTATCTTCCTTACTCTACTAAAGCAGCGAGATCTGGCGATGTCATCCAGTGGTGTCAGAGGCAACCAATGGTTTCTGGTACCGAATTGATCACTCTCTATAGTGCCTTCCTGTCCGCAGCTGTTAAACCAGCATACCATACTGTAATGGAATATGTGAGGACACGTTCTATGATGGACCGATAGAAAGAGGTCATCAGCCATTGTTCCACCTGATTTTTTCGCAGGACTTTAAGGAAATGAAGTCTCTGCTGGGCCTCTCCAATCACCAGAGGCGTGTTGTTTTTGCAGGTGAGATCTTGACTAATAAGCACTCCCTAGAATTTAAAAGAGGAAACCCTCTCCACACAGTCCCCCTCAATATACAGTGGGGCAGGTTCCTCTCTGTGCTTCCGGAAATCTAGTATTATCTAGACTAAATCTAGTCTTACTTGTATTTAGATGTAAGTTGTTTCTTGAGCACCATGCCAATATTATTATTATCCAAAGCTGTCACTGCAAACACATTTAAAACAAAAGGCACTGGAAAGTATAAGGCATAAATTGCATCTCTCTTTTCGGCATAAACAAAAGGATGAGCAATGTTGGAACATGACAATAGTGAATCTATGTGTCTGGCATATTGACACCACATGGGAACAGTAACCTTGACTGTAGTGAGCTGCCCAGAGTCATTGGAAGTTGAGAGGCCTGTAAGTTTACTAATAAACAAACAAACAAACACACACAAAGTCTTACGTGATGCGTTGTGCTATTTTTTGAGTGTCTTCATCATAAGCTTGATAGCTTCCAATAATCTGGTTTATTTTCATTGTTTCCATTGTCTTAATCACTAACGTTTGGGGCTTAAATACGGGGCCTTCCCTCACATTTTCCACATTAATTTTGACGGAAATTGGTTTTACTTGGGAAACTTGACTGATAATTGATTTGTGATACGCTGCTTTGTTAGAAACTACTATCTTCAAGTCCATTGTCTGTAATTCTTCATAATTTATTTTCTGCAGAGAGAATGAAAAAAAAAATCGTAATTTAGAATGCAATTTCAATTTACCCACTTGCATATCTTTCTGGACTCTTGATGGAAGGTTACTATTGCAACTTCAATATTATATGCTATGAAATATCCTTGAAAATCCATTCAGAGTCAAGAGTCCTGTCAATAAAAAAAAGAGAGCAGAAGAGACTCTTGAGTTTTCATGTCACTGTATCAAATGGAGATCGAGGCACAGAAGAGGACACAAAATATCAAGATCCTATGTTAAAAAACAGATACATCTGATCATCTAAACAGGTACGTAACCAGGACTTCCTGGGAGGAGCCTGCTGATGGTGGCAGCTTAAAAATTTGCTGTCCCCGAATTCCTGGTTACGTACCTGTTTAGATGATCATTCATCTGACGTCTTAACAGGTTTTCTTATCCTTCAGGCAAGAAGGAAAGAAGAATAGTTTTGCTGGCAAATGCCCTTTGATTTTTGCAGCTTTTGTGTCTGCAGAGAGAGGGGGGCCAGCCCAAAGCAGAACGGCGTCCGTGCTGGGAACTTCAAACTGCCTTGTGCGGTACANCATGATACAAGCACACAGCCAATCAATCCACTTACTGAACCAAAGCCAGCACTCCACATACCCCCACCAAGTTTTAAGAAAGATGGCAGCTCCAACCACACTTTACTCACACAAACACAAAGCCGAAAACAAGCAAGGCAGTTATTAAGTGAGTTATGACTCAACAAATGATCTTTGTTTGCCACAATTGTTAAGCAAATCACTGCAATTGTTAAGTGAATCGTGCAGTCGTTAAGCGAATCTGGCTTCCCCCATTGACTTTGCTTGTTAGAGGTTGGCTGGGAAGTTTCAAATGGTAATCACATGATCCCAGAACAGTGCAACTGTCACAATCACTTTTTAAAGCACTGTTGTAACTTGGAGTGGTCACTAAACAAATGGTTATAAGTCAAGGACTACCAGTACTAATATGATGTATTGGCTTATTAACAGTTTCTATATCTTTAGATTATTTATTTTTAAACTGAAGGTAAGATAGTGAGTGACATTTAGCTTACTGGGAATGACCAAGAAGGCAATTGCAATTTCTCCTTTTACATGCAGCATTCCCAACTTCCTGAAAAACTGTTCCTTGGAACTGGAAGATAATCCGGGCCAGGAAGAGAAGAAGGGGATTAATGGAGAATGGTTGCTCCTCTCGTTTCATAAAGAAATGTTCATGAAATCTTAGCATCTTCCATCCTTTTACTAACTCAATAAGAAACTAGATAAATAAGAAACCCTTGAAAGAATATGATGAGAGAAGGAAGTACCTCTCTGTCAAGCTGGAATGTTGCTGTCTTAACTTCACCTGTTTCTTGCTTAATGACAAATGCATTAGGGTCATTAGGTTCTTGGGAAACAATCCTAAAAGCAATTTTGGAGTTGAGTGTATTGGGCTCATCTGCATCAGTTGCATTTACCTTCAGCACAAGAGTACCTAAGAAGAGTAAGCATTTTACAAGGGTATATCAAACAGCAACAACCAAGAATGCACATTTTCTTCCTGACCACTCACTAACTATCCTGCTTTTAAAAAATGGTCATAAGCATAACTTCGAATAGTGACGGAATGAACTATTGTAAGTTGAGGACTACCAGTGTTGGTGTGATGCATATCACTGCAAGTTCCTAAATGAAAAGCAGATTATATAAACCCAAACAAATATTCAGTGGCAGAATAGGCACACGAAATACATGGAAAGGGAAGGTATGTTTATACCATCCCAATAATAGAGGTGGTGATCACCATAAAAAATTATCCTAAGCAGAAATTTACATCAAACTGTTATGATTCTACCCAAATTCACTGCAATATTTTGCCTTTTTAATTACTACATAGTAAGGAGAACAAAGTTATGGGGTAAAGTACATGTTGTCTCTAATCCAGACTATTTTGAAATTATCATAAAATTAAAACCAAGATTTTTTTTGGCTCCTAGACTTTATATTTTGGCTGTCAATAAAACATGGATTCACAAGTATTTAATTATATTTTCTAATATCCCACCCCAACAATACTATAAAGTAAAAGTCTATGATATTTCTACTCTATTGTAATATTTTAATCAATAGAATATTTAATCAATAAAATACTACACAAATATTTGTGACAAGGGCCCAGAGGCAACAGGGGGGAAGGAATGGATTCAAAATAATTGTATAGGGAAAAAAATATGAATGCTAAATCTGAATGAAAACATACATAACTGTCTAGAACGTACCCACTTCACACAATTCTTCAACAGAACCACTAAAACCTGTTTGTGAAAACACTGGGCTATTGTCATTTATATCCCGCACTTTAATCCGCAAATCCAGTGGCCTTTCCAGATTTTCACCTCTTTGATTCATGGCATAGCCTTTCAGCTGAAAGAATATTAACGAGAAGTCCACATGATTAATTTCATTCAATTCATTCAATTAATAGAAGAATATAAATAATTATCCTGAATGATGCTGTTTACTCTTTTCCGCTGGCTCATTAAGAAAAATAAATTTCTATAAACATAAAAATCAAGAGCCGATAACGGATATGACTCTATCACTTTCATCTGCTTACATGAAACATTGGTGTTTGTTCCCGATCGACTATTCCTGTTATGTTCAATTCTCCAGTTTTCCCATTAATCACGAATAAATGATATGGTGGTTCTGTGACTCCTTGGCCAGAAATGGTGTAAGTAATAATTTCTCCTGGTTCAACATCTTTGTCAGACCGAATCTATATGGAATAGGAGAGAAGAAACAATATTTATTGTCTCTGAAACTGAAAACAAATGTGTTTTAATCTTTAAAAAAAATAATTATCAAGAAAACTAAAATGACATAAATCTTTAAGTAAAGATGTGCAAAACTTTTTATTCTGGGAATGTAACATTCCGAGAAAAACTTTGTTTTTCCTCTGGACCATCCCAATCTATTCACTTCAAGGTTGGTCCAGCAATTACCTGAATGTAAATCTTCTGGAAGAAGTGCTTTGCATTGCTCTGGATGTGGAGTACTTAATTACCAAATCAATAAATTATACAAATATAAAAAATGACTTAATTCCATACCCAAGCTAAGTGTTTGTATGAACCAGCCTTTATAAACTTAAAGTATACAATACTTTGATAGGCAGAAATTTAAAACTATATGCAATAGATCTAACCAGGAAACAAAAGTCACAGCTTATTCTCCAATAGATGGATCATTACATGTAGAAAATATATAATGGCTGCCCACAAAACTAAATGGAGAACACAAAGAATCTCATGGAGCCTCCTTTGTGCATGTGCAAAACAGAGAGTCTCAAATGAAATAGTATAAATTTGCCTATGTACTGATGTTCTCTTGTGATCTACTATTCAGGATCTAGCTAATAATGAAATGAAATAAATAATCTAGCTAAATAATTACATTTCTGATTCTCATAGAGCCTTGATGGTGAACCTATGGCACTGGTGGCATGCAGAGCCCTCACTGCAAGCATGCGAGCTGTCGCCCCTGCTTGGCTCCACTGCGCATGCGAGCTGTCGCCCTTGCTTGGTTCCACTGCGCATGCACCTCCTACCGGCCAGCTGATTTTCAGATCTCTGACATGCATGCACAGGGCGCATGTGGGAGATGTGTGTGCATTCTCAGGGGGCAGGGCAGTCACGTGAGCATGTGCAGAAGGCAGGGGGGAGCACAAGTGGGGCACAGGGGGTATGGCATGGTCCTCCTGCAGCCTGTTTTTGCTCCCAGGAGGCTGCAGGGATGCCTACTAGGTCGAAAATGGTGTGTGTGTGTGTGTGTGTCATGCACTCATGTGCAAGGAAGTGATGTGCAAGGGGGTGTGTCGCACACACATTGCATTATGGGTGCGGGGCATGCACGCTTTCGGCAAGTGACAACAAAAAGGTTAGCCATCACTGTCATAGAGGTAGGCAAAAATATTTTTAGTTAAGCTCGATTTTGTCAAAATTTTTGAAAATGGCAAATACATTGAATCTCTTTAATAAGATTACTGTATTATAATTTAGTTATACTAAATAATAATTATTGCCATTTTGATTTTTTCCAGTAATGAACCAGAATTGTACAACTGATATTATATGGCCGTTTTACTCAATCTGACAGTTTCTATGCTTGACAGGATTGCAACTCCAGTCCAAGTTGAGGAAAGCTATTAAGGACAAAACAAAAGACATATTTGTTTTCAAGCCTGACTTACCTTAGCAATTGGGTTCTTCTGGGAATTGTCACGCTCTTCCCAGATCTCGGAAGGTGGGACAATCCATTCTCGCTTTTGCCTGATTAGGCTCTTCTGATGGAATACTTGCTCTTGCCTTCCGCCAAGAATCTGTGAGGAAATTCAGTTTTATTTGCAACACTTTCTTATTGCCATACTGGCAAACCAAAATCGGGAAGCCGACCCTTTTAAATGCATTCTTATTTTTCATATAAATATCCTAGTGCAGGGGTGTCCAAACTTGGGAACTTTAAGACTTGTGGACTTCAACTCCCAGAATTCCCCAGCCAGCCACCCCTCTCCTAGTGGGATTTGTAACAGAAAATACAATGGCAAGTTTCAACATAAGCAACAGCACAATATTTGCATAATAAGGACTATCATTATTTCTAATACAAAATGTATGCTCTGAAAAACCATAAGCACTTATAGGAAGGAAAAAATTCTTGTTGATCCTATGGCACTGTCCCTATTTCATCTAGGAAATTGTAAAAAAAATTGTTTTAATCTATGATTTCTGCAACATTTTACTATTTGCTGAAAAAGGTACTTTTTCAAGAAGCAACTGGACTTTTTGATTTTTCTTTTAAGATGTTTGGATTCTTATCCAAGAAGTTTCGTCAGCTCTGACTGGATGATGTGGAATAGAAGGAATTATACTCCTTGCACACAGCTGGTCATTTGTCATGAGTATAAACCCTTCCATTCCCCACCATCCAGTCAGAGCCGAAGAAGCTTCTTGGATAAGAAGAGAAATGCCTTCAAAGAAAAAATAGAAAGTCTAGTTGCTTCTTCAAAAAGCACATTTCCTGGATGACTGAGAATCTCCATACACATTCTATATGTCATATATACACTTGACAAATGTTGGAAATAAATTACTTAAGAACATTTTGCTTAAACCTTTAAAAACCTTCTTAGTAATATACATAAACAGAAAATCCCTTAAAATTGATAGTCTCTTACCTCCCAATGAAGTCCGTTTCCAAAGATTATATAACTCTGCAATAAACAGATACAAAATTAAAAATATATCTAGCCTCCCAATATAAAGCACTAAAAAAATTAAAACACAGCAGTATTTTGGCATCAGTGAAATTTGGTTAAAATAGTGCACGTTACTCCACCCAGACAACATTAAGCATACTTAATTATTTTTAAAATAATGAAATGGATGCATGTATAAAACCAAATCAACGTTAGGTTTTCACATTTAATATGGTCAGAAAATGGAGTAAACGCTGGAATTTCATAGATGTGAATACAAACGAAACATGAAAACAATTAAATCGGCATTAATGGGTCAATGTTGTTGGGTTTGCCTTTTAGGTAAGTGCTAATAGAATAGAAAAGCAAATACAAATTTTCAAAGATGATCCGGGCATGTAGTAGCCCAGTGATGGTGAACCTTTTTGGCACCAAGTGCCCAAACCGGAATGTGCATGATGATTTCATGTGTGCACCTGCTGCTTGTGCAAATGGAGTTTCATGCCCTCTCTTCTGCTTGTGCAACCTAGTTCCCAATGAACCGGTAGGTGGCCAAAGATCGGAGGTTGGGGACCGCTGACTTAAATTGTTACTGGCTTTTAGAAGACGGACCCCCACCCCACTTAACAGGAATATAGGATTGTTGCAGGAGAGCGGGGGGAAGGTAAATTTCCTCATATGTACTGTCCAAATGTATTCATATTTTGCATGACCTCAGTTGGTATTACTTGTTTAGAAAGATATAGGGGTTAATATAGCTTCAGTAATGCCAATCAAGAGCAACGACTTCAGGCCCTTTGAAACAACCAGCAAGCTGGGGGCCATTTTGAACTTGGGGGGGGGGAGACTTCATTCCAGGGTACAGCTACGTGATAGAGAAGGTTTACTTCTGGGGTCATTCTGATAGATGGCACTGCTTACATGAAAGAACCCAGAGCACAACTTGCCAAATAAATTGGCTAGATAAATACTGCAGGAAAGATGCTCCCAAAAATGAACACATTATTTAGGCTTTCCAATCAAATAAGAAACAACAATGTATATATGTTCATTCTCCTAATACTCCAGGTCCTTCTACTTAAGAGTTTGATGTGCATCCAGCTAAGCATTCACCCAGTATGTGCCTTATAGAATCAATAGAGCTGAAATATCTTTCTCTGTGTTGCAAATATAGTTCCAATCCCCTATGAAAATAGCATCCTCCTATGTGCAGATGTGATGCTCCCACTTAAGGAAAAGTAGAAATAGGTATGCACTTTCCCCTTGTTAATACATCCTAGTTATATTCAATTCTGAAGCTTAAGTGTGTATTTGCAATGAATCATGTAGCCATCCATCTCTGAACCCAATGAACTCCCTATAGTTGATGTTGCAACTAAAATTCCTTTGGGCATGCAGACTATTACATTGGGACTGACCACCCAATATTTCTAGAAGGCACCAGGCTGGAAAACAGTGATATCATTACTTCTGCAATGCATGGAAGTCATAGATCTTACTGAACACAGTCAACTGACTCATCACAAATACCTCTTAAACTAACTTTCTTCAGTGTGGTGTTCTTCAAATACAGTGTGTGGAAAACTTAGTTTTCATTGGTTAGAAGCCATCAGGTTGAGAATGTTTGTCTAAAATGTAGAGCTGAAAAACTTCAGGTTGCCAAAGAATAGTGGGAAAGATTCAGGTTTCTGTATCTGCTATTAGCTAGTGGTCATTCAGAGTTCTGCCAAAAATTGCTTTAAGTGGCTTACAAATAAAAAAAATGTTTATGGAGGTACAATTAAAAAACAACATGAGATGACTACAAAAAAATCAATAAATTCCACAGATGAACAAATATAAGGTGCTCCACAACCAAATACCGTATGCTTTATAGCATGATTGTGAAAATGATTAAAAATATAACAGAAATATTCATAATTTCTTTGCAGCTTGGAGAGAATTCTAATACTTCACCAAGACAATAACATGTACTACCATAATTAAACATAATGAAAACAATCACGTATGAAAGACAGCCACCTTCAAAGGAAAGGTAATTAGAACGCCAAATTGCATTGGTACATCCATGTACCAATCCATTCATTGGCTAGATGTTGTTTTCAAAAACAAACTTGATACAATGAATGATTAAAATTAATTTCCTGAAATATTTAGCCTATTCTGAAAACGATCGCATCTACTTATAGATACAAACCATTTTCTTTTCACAAACGATTTATTTACATGTGTCCAAAACACACTTACATAGAGAAAACAATGATCCAGAAATCCAGGCCAATGATCCATAAGCCTATGCATGGTCACGCTGTGACAAGGTCCTTGAATTCAATGCATATTGAAGTATTATGCATATGGACAGATCTATTTAGCCCAATTTCCTTTATGTAAGGTAGGATACATGAAGGTTCCACCACAAAACCGCGGACGACAAAATCGCNATAAAAAATTGTACTTCGATGTTTTACTGATTGAGGAATGATGAAATATTTGTGTTTTAAAAGAAATAAAACTTTGAATTAAAAACAAAACAAAACAGATACATCAAGCAATTGAGTTAGGAACCTTTATTCACCCTCATTCTTGGGCATACGAAAACAGGGCATGTCTCAACCTCTTGTTAACTGACTCAGCTTGACAATGGTTATAAAAAAAGCCTGATGTTATATTATCCCACAGTTTTAAAGTAAAACAATGATTGTAATGCAATTTGTGGAACAGAGAACAAATTGTTTAAAATTATTATGAAGTACGAGAAGCTGAACTAATGGATGCTCTTTGTGGGTATGTGTTGTAGGTGGGCGTGCAGAATGCAACTGTTTTATGTGCAAAACATTCTACCATACTATAAAATCTCATCATAATGGAAACAGGGCAGAGAGGTGGTTACAATGAGATGATAGGAATCTGTGCAGAAATACTCATACAGAACACATCAGCGTGCCATTGTGCTGTATGCTGTCACTGTTCTCTTCTTTTGCTAGGTACCGTCACTGGATTGAGGTTAATGTGGCATGCATACTGCCTCTCCCCATCCACTAACCTTAATCAGAGTAAGAATTCCTTGGTTGGTTCGTGAATCTGTTTCTATACGGAAGTAGCCTCCTTCATTGCCAGATACAATCCTAAAGTTTGCCAGCCAGTTATCAGTAAATTGTTCATCGGCATCAAAGACGTCCAGGCGCATGATTTCCACATTAGCTATATTTTCCTTTACACTTCCTTCATACTGTAAATAAATAAGCCTTTTATAATGATACATCTTTCTGATCATAATTGAAGAAACCCGCACAAATAATAGCAAGCACACTTTTTACTCACCACAGTCTTGTTGAGTTTAGGGATGTTGTCATTAACATCCAGAATCTTGATCTGTACAGTAGTCACTTGACGATTCCCATATTCTTTTAAATCACAGTCTTTTGCTTCCACAACCAAGGAATAACCACTATGTAGCTGCAGAATAGTCAAATAGCATGAAAGTTGGGATATAGAAAAACAACAAAAGGTTGAATGCTATCCCCTATAGCTGCAAAAAGAATTGTACCCCCAACCTGGGGAACCTTAAAGAGTGAGTAGGACCAAATATCATCCCAGAGATTGCTGAATTACAACTACCAGTATCTGTAACTTCTGGCCACATTTGGAGGCCACACTTTTCTTACGCATTGTTTTTGAAGCTTATGGTGGGAAATGCAGAAACTTAACACCTCCTACTTTCTGCCAGAACACACAGAGAAAATCATGGTGCCTGAGAGTGGAGGTAATTGGAGTATTCTGAACCGCAGTAGCGAAAAGCAGAAGACTAGAAAGCAGAAGGTCAGAGAAACAAAGATGCAAAAGTGTAAGCCATTGATACATTGTGGGTTTCAAGATAAGATAAGGACATTGTCTTTTTCTAACCATCCGAAATAAAAAAAAGGCTCTCAACCATATTGAGACTTTGCAGGAGAGTGACAATACAAGTCTATCATAAAAGACTGCATCTCCACTATGTATAAATATTTCATAAACATTCAGTATGCTCCTAAGAGCCTAGATCCAGCCAAAATGAAATGAGGTTTTGAAAAAATATACCAATATTAGATTATGCATGTTTGTGTATGCATATACACACACACACACACACACACACACACACACACACACATGTTTTCGTAGATTTTCACGGGTGTAGGTATGCTGGTCTTNCGCTTTTGTGGACCGCGGTTTTGACGGGTCACATACATGAAGTCCTTGTTATCCGCAGTGACTTCACTTTGAAGCAAGGAAGCACACTGCAGTGTGCAATCATTTTTTTCTGCAGTCATCTTGTTCATGTCTCTACATGTATTTGCATAAAGAGTGTCTTTCCCTCTCTTCCAGGGTGGGCATTTCCAAGAACAGCTTCCAATGGAGAGTGAAAGCTGTTCGGTGCAGATATTCTATATTATCCTCTGTGACAAAAAGCAGGCAAAATAAAAATACTCTGGTAGGCTTCTGAGACTGGTAGAACTTGTTTGACCATAGTTCCTAAGTGACCCAGCAGTTCAGGAAATTAATTCACATTTGCAGGTGTTTTCATTTAAGTCTAAATACATGGTGGCACTTCTTTACAATGGGCAGTCATTACCACTAAAAGATTCAAAATATCTCCAAGCATTCCGAGAGACAGGAATACCTTTGTAATTCTAGATAATTACTCCTATAGCTCTGAATTTGAAAAATGGCTTAAATTGCATTTCTCCATATGCTTGTTTTGGAAATAAGTCCTATTTAAGTCAGAGAGAATAAGTATGTAGATCAGTGTGTAAACTGCCTATGGCAACTATATATATTATTTAATAGCAGTGAACAGATGGAAAGAATGGGAAGCAGAATACAAAACAAAACAAGTCAGAGGAGGGGAACTGAGACTAAAAAGAAATCATATATTTGCACCCTCAGTTTAAAATTCCCCACTCGTCACACCATTTGGTTTTCCTATTTCAGTTGGTTCTGAAGAAAAAGTTTGCAATATGAGGAAAAAACAAGCCTTGTTTATTTATATGCAGTGATAACCTTTAGTGTGGAAAAATCTGGGGCTCAAGCATGAGAGGAGGAAGTATAATTAGATTAAGGTGGAGTTTCATTCCTTCAGGAGTATTATGGAAAAGTGTTCTTTATCCAAAACAAAATTAATCATCCTTGGATCTAACAAGGCTGGCAAAGACAATATAATGAAATTAACAACCTTTTGAACTCAGGGAAGAAAATTCTGGACTTCTGTTTTTTGTTTTCCAATTTCTAACATTAAGAGATGTGAGAAGCCTCCAGTGATAAAGCTCCCACAACTTCTGAAGGCAAAAATGAAGTTAAAACATTTCAAATTCCCAACCAAGAGTTCCTTTAGTATACTGGGTGTTGAAAAGTAGCAACCAGTAAGACCCCCAAAACCTGAGATATTCTAGAAACAAAAGATATTGATCAGCAAACAATGTGTAAAGAATTGGTGAATCTAAAAGAAGTTTTCTACTAGCTTCTTTATCTATTCAGGAATTAGGAAAATGCTTGATAAAGAGGTAATACATCTTAAAGGCAACTGAATTTTGTACTGGGGAAACAATGGGCTTAACCCTTATGCCATTTTTCTATTAAAATCCTACCCATTCTCTCTCTCTCTCTCTCACGCGCACGCGCGCACACACATACTTTTAGCTCTATCTTTTTCCCCCAACAAGATTAAATGCTGCTTATAAGGAGGGACTTTCAATAACAAAAAGTTATCTGAGTAATATATAGTTCAACTTTTAGGTAAAAATCATCTACAGTTGATATTAATTTTGCTCATAAAAACATGCAAGGAGGACAAGAACTAGCAAAATGGTTCTATCTTTCTAGCTATTTCAATGGCTCTTGCATGTTCAAAATGAAGCTAGAAGCCTCTTCTGAATGTAGAAGGCTCCCTGTGTAATGCTGAATCTGGATTTCAACATTTTGCAAAATACCTTCACAACTGGTTCCCCATTTCAGATATTACTCTAAATTAAAACAAACAAGGAAACCAATATGGGATGATCACTCTATCTCTTCACTTCTTAATGCTGAAGTTAGACTGAAAATATCTGAATAGGACTCAAGTCAGTTGCATTTCAGGACTTTCGAAGACCTTCCAAAACTTAGCATCCATCTGGTCTAATAACTATTTTATAAAGGTGGCTACTCAGATGCTTTGCGTTAGTCCACTAATGCTTTTGTTGCCCCTCAAATAACCTTGAGAAACATTGCTCCTTAATGCATTTTATTTAGCTGCCATGACGAATATCCCTGATAGAGCTGATTCTCCATTAATTCAACTGATTCACTTTAAATTCCTTTTAAGGGAAAAGTTGACACCATACCCCATAGTAGCACATTCCAAAACGTCTATGTTGTGTAAAGAAGCATTCCTTTCTGTCTCTCCTGAATTTACTACCAGTCAGTTTCATGGAAAGAGTGAAAATTCTAGTACCGTGAGAAGGAGCTGTAGTAATGATAAGAAGCCATCTTTCTTCATATTGTATATGGCTTTTATATATTCCTCCCAGAGTTATTGAGAGTTGGGTGGCATGCAACTTAAATAAATTATTAGCTTCCTTGATCTGTTCCATTCACTGTATTGGATTATAATATATCCCATTATTTTTGGTATAGCTCTGCTAGCATACTAAAAATATTTTAGACTGTCTTGGAGGATTCAAAATTAGGCAGACTACTGTGAGGTACTACTCAGATCTTTTTCTTAATAAAGTGAGTTTCCTCATAAAGGAGTTATTCTTTTTCTAAATCTTTTGTTGTTCCTTTTGTTTTGAGATTCTCTGAAAACAATTCTCTTAATTTTATTTGTAACTTGCATTAAATTTGCTTGTTTTGTTCACAGACAATGCAATTCCATATATTTATTCAAGTTATACGGCTGCCCAATTCATCATTGTGACTTTGGGCATCTTACAACAGTTAAAAACACAACAATGAAAAAAAAAACTACCATAACTACGAGTCAAGGTATATGCAAGTAGACACAATCAAATCTCAGTAGGCAATCCTCATAGATTGGATGCTCTCAGTGAGTTAACTGAAAATCTACTCAACTCCGTTCAGAGTCTGAAACAATAAGACATTTTCCTTTGGTCAAATTTTGGTCTTTCTATTTAAATATAAAGTGTTAGCTTTTAACTCAGCAACTTTTACATTTTGGAAATTAAACTTCTGCAATAGAATTTAACATAGACTTATTCTTTTTTCATTGCTGTGAGTTTCATAAAAATTTTTAATTGCAGATCTTCATGATGGCATAAAAATATGAGAAGGAAATGAAAATGACTGATGATAAAATTTCTCTAATAAGCCCACAATAGCTTTCGTTGATCAGCTTTTTTTTTTAAAGAAAAAAAGGTAATTATTAGCTAGAAGAGAAGGACAGGCAGTGTCACAGAGAAAAAAGGAGGGGGGAACAAAAATTGGTGACTTGCCACAAATTTTTCTCTTTCTTAACTTTTAATGTCATGGACACTTTAAAAAAATTTAGTTACCAAGGTTGAGAAACACTGATCTTTCTGGGACAGATATGCTGGGCATAAAGGCCAAAATCTGAATGGCACTCAGGGGGGGGGGAAGGTTGATCAAAACAATGCTGAAGGAAGGATACTATTTCTTTGAAAATGCCTGCTGTTTGAAAGATTGGGAAAATTCTACTTGTCAATATAAATGAAGCATTATGTCTCTTTCCCTGGGGATGGAGATGTTACCACAATGGAAAATAACAGGTAATGAACCTGTCTGCACCTTATTATCACGGAAAGTTTTGTCACCAATTATCTTTACAACTGTCTGGTAATTCTACAAAAATTCTATTGGCTGCCATCCCACACAGAAGTTTCTTAATCGCAATAGCAGCCCTGCCAAACCAGGGTGGATAGAAACCTTCAAAAACTGCCAAGAGGAATCAAAAACAGCTGTCCCCTATAAAGAAGAAGGCTAGAGTTAATTCTGCTTTCAATATGTGTGTGTGTATATCCTTCCTATCAGGATGATCTCACCTTATTTATAAATACAATTTCATGCCAATTGTCACATTCTATCTATCACCCTTTCCACTATTACTTTGACATATTTTGCATGGTTTTATCACAAGTCAGCTTAGGATTACTGGGGTGTATTTGAAATATTACTCCAACAACCATACCACAAAAGATTCTGGGAATTCTCTTCCCCAGTCATCTAGAGGGCACCAGATCCCAGTGCAGCCTGACAGTCTTGGTAGAAGGGGGAGTTCTAGCAGCCGATTCAAGGGCTGGAAGTCTGGTGGCCAATCTCTCTTGGCATCCCCAGAGCAAGGAACAACCATTCTCTGGAGCAGTGTTTCTCAATCTCAGAATCTTTAAATTGGGTGGACTTCAACTCCCAGAATTCCCCAACCAATGTGGTAGCTGGGGAATTCTGGGATTAAAATCCACATATCTTAAAAGTTGTTGAGATTGAGAAACAGATCTCCAGAACTTCCTGAATTATACCTGCCTTCTTATTAGAATCCAAATTGATCTTCTAAAGCAAAACTATTAAAATGTAAGCAGAACTTGAACCTATGAGCACAACTTTCCAGATTTCCCCCTGCAAACCAAACCACTTAAAAAGCCAGTCCAGATTGAAGTTAGCTGCTTCCAAGAAAGCGCATTATATATATATATATATGTATAAAATGGCAGCCTCAACAAGTTTCTCGCAATACCAAACACCTCCAGACCTTCGCGCGAGTTTCTTTCCCCCGAAAGGCACTTTAAAAAAAATCCTCTTTGCACACTGCGATAAGCGAGATTAGCATCGCGAGTGAACCTCCTGAGGTTCAGGCGTTGGGTTCGCAGGGCGTGGCGCGGCTGCTCGGCTGAAAGAGGAGCGGCTGTTCGGACCGGCGCCCCCATTCAGCCTACGATTCGCCCGCAGCGGAGAGCGCACTGGTTCCTGCGGTTCCTTTTCCAAACTCAGGGTCTTCCTATCGCCCCTTTTCTTTCCTCGGCGGGCATCTGAGGCATCTCCCCTTCCCAAGAGCCGGAGCGAGTTGACCGTCGGGAGCAACAGGTGGGCTTCCAAACTCACCGAGAGTATCCACAGGCCGAGGTATCCAGCCATGGTGCAGCCCCTGCGTCCTGAACTTTCGCGTCCTGAACTCCGGGTCGACTGCAGCAACCCTTTCCGCTCACCTCTCCGGAAGGGAAATAAGGGACTCCGCTTGGAGCGCCTGGACTCTGGGTGGCGGCTTAACCCAACCCCTTTCCTGCTGGCGGGGAATAATGAAAACAGGGCTGGTTACCAGCGGCAGGTGGGGCGGGGGAGAAGGAAGAGGAACAGCCGCGGGGCGGCGAATACCGGTCTGGAAGGGCACACCAGGTGGATGCAGGAGTCCCGCCCGCCCTTTGAGTCAGGTTTCTGCGGAACTGAGAAGGGCGGGCGAGGGAGGGTGGGGATTGACTTTTGTCTTTTAGGATGAAAGGGAAAAGAAAGAAAGCGGCCCTTTTTCTGGATATAAAGTGCGAGGCTTCAATGCAACCTGAGTTCCTTTTGCTCCAGCACGGCCTGTTGCTGCTTGGCGGTAGCCAACTCTTCCTCGATTGTTGGGGGCAAGATGCTCACTCTGTAAACTGCTTAGAGAGGACTGTAAAGAAGTCCAAATGCTATTGATCTCCTGCTATCCAGTGGTTCTCAACCTTTTTTTTTTTGGCCATATCCCACCTAAGCATGCCTAAAATCCTGATGCCTGCCCTGTGACATATAATTCTTACTTTACTCAATATGTGTACTCATGTAGAGGAAGCCTAAAAGGCCATTAACTTGGTTAAACAAGGTTCAAATTGCCCGCATTAAAAATTGAATTGCCCCCCTGTGGGGCCTGGGACCCACGTTGGCGACCACTGTGCTATACTCTTGTTCCGGCGGAATTCCCGATTGCTTCCCTTCCCTGTCCTCAATCGCCTTGAATTTCAGCTCCATGGGGAGTTTGGAGCCATCTTATTGCTTTATGTAGGTTTATCCGCTTGCCTTGAGCATACTTTCCTATCCCGCCCCTCTCTCTGTGTTGTCGGTTGATCCCACAGAAAATGATATGCCCAGAGGGTGCTGACCCAGAAACAAGCATGCTCCTCTCCCCTTTGTCGGGAACTCAAAACAGTGTAACACGCAAACCGGGAAAACGGAGAGAGGAAAGGGAATTATAAAAGTTTTTCTTTTTTTACAACATGGCAGCTTCGTTTTCAGATTATAGATTATAAATTATGGTTTTTAGTACCAGCTGCAGCTTGCAAAGGTTAACACTTGTGGGCCATGGCTAAGGTGACCAGATGTCCTGATTTCAGCGGGACGGTCACACTTTATAACAATTTGTCCCGTGTCCCGGAGTGTTTTTAAAAAGTCCCGATTTTCTGGCTTCATGTTGAAAGCCCAG